TTTGATAGTCTTATTGAATAAGCTAATGTCTGTGTATAATCGATTTTGGATGATCTTGTTACAGGGGATTGTTTACCAGTCGATCGTTTATGATAAAATGTGTTGAAGAGATTTGACATGCATGCAGATAAAAAGCGTAGCTGTTTTTTTATTTATTTTTCAAAGATTGTTTATCCAATGTTTTAGCATATCAGGTATATGTCTAGTTACAGAAATCAGGCTGCTCGTTCCGTTTAATTAGGAACTCTAGCTGAATATTCATGTTGTATCATTTCTGATTAGGAGTTTTATTTCTGGTCCTAACATATTTCATCAGTATAGTATTCTGCTTATTTCAGATATCTTCAGCCTTTATCATGTCTCATTCTATTTTAATTACTTCACCACAAATTCTCATAATAATTTAATTACTATGTTTAACTTCTGTGTAGTAATAAAATAACGTTTAAAAGTTTCCCATCAAGGATTCTCTGTGGAAATGTAAAGGTTATCTAAAATGTTTTCATCTATTATACTGTTAAGAGAAAATTAAAGGTTCTAAATTTTCCAGTAATAGCAAGGCATTTCATCATATATAATACATCTGTGTATGATATACACTGTGTCGATTCAGTATAGAATTTCGTTTGAAACAACTGGGCATAACATTATGTTTAGTGGTGTTACATTGTGACATTTGTTAACGAATGATGAGTTCAAGTACATTTGCGTATAAATGAGGGTTTTTGTTTATAAACGATTTTGTTTTTGGATAAATGAGCACCTTATGAGGTTGTGGTTAGGGATAGTCGACAAGAAACCCTGAACTTAGGTTTCATACTAAATGGCACTTGTGAGCAAGGTTTTTCTGTAATATTGGGGAACTAATAACGTCTGACGGATTCAATCCCATTTCACTCAGCTTCACAGTCAGAGACGTTACTAGTTAACTTCCCACGAAGTAATCGACCTCCTGTAGGACTGAGATGTATTTATGATTGATTGATTATTGGGTACCATGTATGTCAATTCCTTATGAGTGCAGATCGATAAAATTCGATCAGTCAACTTTGAAATTATTTTTACAACTAATTGACTGAATACAAACTCAGCCACTTGTAGACAAAATCAGCTCGATCATTTTAAGAAATTTTTTATGTCATCCTATTATTATTACATTATAACTAATTATCTAACAGTTAGTTCCCTACATTTTTTCTAAACATCTGTGTGTCACTTTTATATAAGAAATTTCTATACACATTTCTCATTTAATATTTTCGATAATCCGATTTATTCAACTTTCATTAGTCAAAGTGTTTGCCATTTTCAAATACAGAATTTTTTTTATATCTGCACTCTGAGTGGGGACTCATTCAATATGCATCTTATTTAACGTTTACTTATCATTTTCGGTTATAATTGTGCAAACAGTATGCATGTTTGTATACATGGCAATTCCTTGGCAGTTTGATTGACTATCACTTTGGAATCAGTCTACCAACCATATATAGCTTTTGTATATTCCCCTCATCTTTTTATTCAACACTGTCTGATGAAACTGTGAGCAGTTCTATTTGCATTGAAATATTTTGAACGTATAAAGGTGTAGCCTTAAAGTCGGACTAACCGTTTTATAGAATGGAGTTGACTTTGTGATCGAAATCGAAGGTTTTAGGTTTGATTACCTGTAAGGGAATCATGGATACTCATTGCTCAGGAGTCCGACACTTCAATGAAATGGGCTTTCAGTGCTTCCAGGTTTTCAACAGCTGTCCCATAATTTATAATCTATGCAACAACTAAGGTTACATCAGTAGGATGAATATACACCACAAAAACTAAATAAATACTCAACAACTCAAACAACTATTCTCATTTTCACGTAAGGCAGGCAATATTTAGGAACAGTTCACGTCCCAAAGATTTACATCTGTTAAAACATTTCCAGGGAATACAAAATCCTTTAATGCCAACATGTCTTGAAAATATTTATCAATGAACGGTTCAATAATCAGATTTATAAATGTTATTTCTAGCTAACATCAGAGTTTGATAACTAGAATATCTAAATTTACATTCTGTACATCAACTGGCAAGCAAGTTTGACTGGCTCAGTTCTTCAAATTATAATTTGCAAGTTATGTTTTGAATATGTAGCATCTAATCCTATGTCAAGCCCTAATGAGTTATTCTAGGCTCCGGACAGACTGATATATTCATTCTTTTCAAGACACATTTCGACCTTTAATTATTCGCTTATTAACTTTATCTGTTTCAATATGAGAGTATGTGTTTAAATTACTCACCCTATTCCTAACGTGTCTGTAACTTATTTTTGTCTGTCTGTAAACAATGAATCTTCTTCAAAATGATTTGGCTTAATCTCCTTCTCCACTTCTTATTCTGAATGTCTGTTTGGATAAACGAATGCTTGAAATAAGTCCCTTCAATGAAACCAGTATTTGGCTTCTTATTACCGCCTTCACACAAACAGAGTTCGCCTAGGTAGTTACGTAGTTAAATGGAATATTTATGAACATAGCATTTTCGTACGATCAAACGTAGGCCAACAAATATAAGCTTGATTCATTTTATGATGAAAACATCTAATATCAGTCAGATAGTGATAGAAGTCGATTCCTGAAACCAAATAAAGTGGATTAGAAATGGTCATTCAGCTCTCAAATATTTAGTCCATTCAAGGAATAAGCAGTCAGCCAACCATCTAACTTATTTCATAGTCTTATGATCTAAAATTAAATTGGTTTTAGTAATGAAGCAATTAAAATAACAAATTCTTCACAAAAAAATTTTTGTTTGTTTGACAGAAAATACTATTAGCCAAAAAGTTACATCATCAAATGTGTGTAAACAAGTGTATTTGAGAAAATGACCAGGATAAAACAGCATTTGAACCAATACTCTTCTCTTCATCATTCATCTATCTGGCATTTTAGTTGGTGCCATTTCGTGATGAAAATCAAAAATCTAATTTTTAATACTAACTGTCAACTGTGAATCCTAATTCATCACTCTGGTTTATAACCCTCATTTAGTCCCAGTTAAGTGGACATACTCAAGGTCACATTAGTGTCTCTCAAAGGTCGTCCATAAACCAGTTTTTCTATTGGATAGACTATATTCATTTAATTATATATGATGTACAGAACTGATGGTAGTTACTTTACTGAATTCCATCTTCTACTAAGTACACTATTTCACTCATAATTATCTGCAATAAAGTTACGTTAGACATTAGTATCAAACGTAAATCTAATAATTTCCAACACATTCATGTATATATGCACTAATGAAGAAAAGTAGGCTTTTCAGAATGAAGGTTATTGGTCTATTTATAAAAATACTTATTTGTCAACAAACTTAGACACAGCATTGGTTATTATAGAGTCACAAACATATAAATATAGATGATCACAATTGAATGATCACTGAGTGGTGATCAATGTCATGCTTGTCTAGTCCTTATTTAGTGCAGATCGAATGCTATCGATCATGTTGAAATGTGGCCACCAGTCTAGGTGACTCGACACTAGACAAGCATGACATTGATCACCACCCAGTGATCAATTAATTGTGATTACATCTCAGTCCTACAGGAGGTCAGTCGCGGCTCGGATAGCTCAGTGGTAACGTCTCTGACTGTGAAGCTGGGTGACACGAGATCGAACTCGCCAGGGAGCACCAGTTCCCTTAAGATTACAGGTACACCTTGATGACGAGTGCCAGGTAACACGAAACCCAGGTCCAGGGTTTCCTGTTGACTACCTCCAACCACCATCTAAATATAGATGATGTTTAAAAAATATGGTTTATTGACCAGGTCTTACCAGGTTTTGTTAAAACAAGAATCAATAAAAACGGTAGACGTATGAAAGCTAAATAAATTTAATCCGATCGATATATTTGATGAAAAACATATCTAAATGTCCAGGAAAACCTGTTACGTACGTTCTACATTATCTATATGTCAAGTGCTTCGTGATTACCAACTACTTCAAGGTACCATTATTCAAAAAAACGTTATTAGAAATACTGCGTACTTCTGGAATGATAAACATTCATCCTTTTGATATTTAACTTCACTAGAAGAAACTATACCCACATTGTTTTCATCGCATTATCTATAGTTCTATTTAAGCCAGACAGTTTTTATTCATTTTGTATTGGTTGTTTGAATCTTCTCATTGATATTTAAGACTGCATTTGATCAGTCTCTTATTTGTATATGTACATCCTGCACGAACTACCTCGATAATGACTTAAGCTCGTAGCTATTAGGACTTAATAGCTAATTGGACATCGTGATAGCGTTTCAAGCGAATGGTACTTGGTTCGAATCCTAGAATGAACATCAACTTTGGGATGCAAGTACATTTAGTTGACTTGTCCCAAATAGGATGAAATGCGCATCATACTATTTTGATAATGTTGAATAATTTGCAAAACATCCGTTTAGAATTGTGTTCCGTATTTAATAACTTGTCGTACATACTTTGTTTTTATATTTATTTCCATTATATTTATCAATGATAGTATATTAATCACAACCAATTACAAAATGTTTTTTCTACATTATTTTACCAGATTACTACTTGCTTATTATTGCTTACAAAAAGCTCGTGAATTAAGGCAATATAGAGGCAATACGCACAGTATGCACATATGCCAATAACAGACTGATCAATTGCAGTCTTAAACCTCAATGGGAAGATACAACCCAAACAATACCAAGTGAATTACTTTCTTAAGTTTATATTATGTAATTTATTGTATAAGAGAAATAAATTAATATAAGCTGTATTTATTTTATTCAATTAATTCAACTTATAGTACATCAATGAAATATGTTTCAAGTGATCTACGTCTATTAGAATTGCCATTTTCGCATTAAACATAAATTAGTGTTACGAAGAAGTCAGCTGTTCCTTCTTCTTTTGCAACAGTGCATAGAGTGCACTTTTTACATTATTTATAAGTAATTGTATTATTGTGATTTATTTTATTTTAACTTGAATTTTTATACATAAAAAATTATTACTTATAAGAGGTTTTTTATAATGGAAATTAAAATGAAATTAATGTTTCTAATTTATCTGATATATGTAACAACAGCTCAAAATGAGAGAACACAGAGGAATGAAAACACCGTCGATGATGAAAGAAAAACCAGTGAAACAGAAAGCGAACGAAGTAGAAGGGAAACGGGATCGGAATTCGAACGTCGCAAGTCTGGCCAAACAGGTTTGGAGACAGTGACGATGACTGGAAATTCTAGATCTCAATATAAACACAGAAAACAAGGACAGGTCAAAGCTGTTGGAAAATTCCGTTCACGTGGAATGGGTAGATACGGTTTAGTATCATCAGAATCTACATATTATGTAATTGAAGGCAAGTTCGATAGATATGGTCGAAAGAGACCTACTAAGTCGAACTTCAAAACTCGTGGAAAAGAAAAAAAATATTCTAAAAAAATTGTTGATAATCAATTTGATATTAAAGGTGGTTTAATTGAAGAACGTAAATATAAACAAACTGGTGATTATCAAGCGAACGGTACTCATGTTTATATTGATCTTCAATCTGAACGCCAGAAATCTTTGTCTTCAAGAGTAAAGCAGAACGAAGACAAAAGTAAAGAAAAGGAAACGGAGAAAAAATCATCGTTTAACAGTACCTTGACAAATTCATTTGGTTTTCAAAAATAAAACATTTCAACAATTGTGCGATTATGATTTATATTTGACTATAATAAAACTAATATCGATTTTCATGTTAATAACCTTTTAAAATGATAATTTGTTTATTCATTTTGATCTTCACACATATAATTGATAAATAATAAGATCTGTTATTTATATATTGTAAGCAATACATCGATTTTTAAAATAACGATATGATTAATTTCTAAAAGTCTCTCATGACTAAGACAAATCATACTAAAATTAAGGAGATGAATTAATTGTTCATTGCCTCCTGATTTCTGGTAATTGTGTAACTCACATCGATTCGTGATCTTCATAATAAATAGTTGTTATCGAACCCGAGCGTTTGTATCTGTATTGAAACAACTCACCCCCATTGTTCTTAGTGTAATCCTGTTTTCGCATAACTGATGTAATATGTTGTTTATGAGCTAGAACTACAAGAAGGTTCATCTAGCTGTGAGTTTCATTATAGTTTTTTAATAATTTGTAATTAGTTGCATCTAGTTCAGAAATACCACTGTGGTTATGAAAATCAAGTCAAACTGATATTAAATAGTAAATTTAAGAACATAATATGACAACATTAGTACTGGTTTTACCCACTACCAAATAATATGAGTAATTATAAACTTGTTTTATACATTCTATTACTTTACAATTGATTAGTCACTGAACAGTGACCAATATCATATTTATCAGGTCCTTTTTAGTGTTGACCTACTCAGATTATTGTTCCCTACATTCTAATTCAAAGTCTGATCACTTTGACAACATGCGAAAAATTATACATGTCAACAAACTTCTGTGAATCATCAAGTCCCCAGTACTACTTCACTCTGATGATGTCAAAATGTGGCGAAAAGTAGTGAATAATTAGAACTTACATGCATTCATGGCCGACCTCGGTGTCTTAATAATTTAGTCTAGGTTGTGGTTAACCCCTACCAATATGGGTAGGTGTATATTTTAGTGGTTAATATAGGTACTTCAAACGCACACATTTATATTACTTATTTCTAGATACAGGGTGTGATCAAACATGTGAATGTCGAATATATCACTTTGCTTCTATTGGTTATCTTAAGTCCAAATGTGTGTTTAATTCGAAACCCCTCACTGAATTATTTTCTATCATCCCTTTGTTTGCCTATCTGCCAGTTTGTTTGTCAATTAGTCTTATTGTATCGACCTTCTGGCCTAATATTTGATCCACTCTGATTTGTCTACCCATATTCCCGTATCCCACCATCATCAACTTATAATTTTACCAACTTTGGGATCAAAGTATCTAAAAACATTCGGACAATAGCATTGAAAAATTCCATATATCTCTTACAGTCTTTTAACATATTTAGACTAATTCTCAATTAATTTCATTACACTTCGATTCCTGACTATTACAATTCGAATAAAATTGTTAGACGTCCAAAAATAGTGTAGCGGAAGAAATACTCTGAATGGATGGTATTGTCTGTTTGTTCACATTTAGTGTTCAATTAAGTCATTTTGTTAACTTATTAACGAACTGAGTCCTCCGTACAACTTATCTATATCATTGTATCTTTATTATTGTTGAGAATGTATAAACATGTATGGATGAGCATTGCTTACTGCCTACGCATTTATTCACGCTACTAGCCTTATTATTAACCGCTTAATTGATTCGATGATTCATTCATTTCGCTATGAATATATATGTCCATGTTATTCATGTTCATTGCTCTCTCTCTCTCTCTCTCTCTCTCTCTCTCTCTCTCTCTCGCTTATATGTACTCGCTTACTCGTACTCGTATTCGCTGACTCACTCGCTCGTTCGCTTGCCTGCTTGCTTTTCGGCACAACTCTTTCATGCTTGCTTAACGTACCTGTAATTTTGGATAACTGTGTGGTTCCATAATAAACGAACTCAACACTTCGTATTCGCCTTCTGATTATTATACCGTTCGGGCGTTATCTAGTGACGGTTATCAAGCCGAACTGTATATGAAGTTTAAGGATTATATTGAATACCGACCACCACGGTATGTTGAATTTACTCACCACCACATAATTGGTATCGAGGTTTTACTTATTTCTAAAATATATATTAGTTTAGAGCTCTGATTAAGAGTTAAGTAAAGAGAAATGTTTCTCCACTTAATGTCTCGATGGGAATAATTAATGAATTGAAAACTTCACACTGTTATCCTATGAATAACTCAAATCTATCCTTCGTATTTAGTTTCGTCATGTTCATCAATATTTGTATTGCAGCGTCAGTTAAATATCGTGAACCCTAACCGAATCGTCCATCAAGCTATACCGGTTTCTACGTTAGTGGAGTGATTCTCTGAACGTTGAAATTTTGACTGCATTTCATCAAAGTAAAGGGTGACTAACACAAACACCACTAAACAAGCCCATTTAGCAGTCGGTCACTTTTTGTACAGTCCTACTCTATTTATATCTGAATGCAACGCTTACTTGTCAAGATTTTGTCTGTTCTCAGATCATGTTATGGAAGCAGGGTAGTCTCGCCACTCCATTAGAGTAAGTCAGACCAAGTGGTCTTAGCATGGCATAACTTGGACGTAGGATAAAAAAAGTTAAATAGTCCAATTATCCAACTTCAACCCGGATAGACTAATCCCTAACAGACATCTAAGTAGCAAAGTATCGGTTCATTTCACCCAACTGTCACAGCCTTTGACAAATAAAAAGCTTTCAGGGTAAGATTATAGTTTGGGGACGAGCTTAGAACAACCTCAACGAATCTTCAGCCAGTTGGTAGACAATCAGTAAAACGGCTTTAGTGGATGGATAGCATACGGAAAAGAAAGTGGTAATATTCAAACTTTGTACAACTTTCACATATTTGACAAGTACATTTAATTCTTATACAGACTACTCTGCATCTAAATGGAATGAAAAACGACATGTAAATTCGATTTTCCACATAAAGGTTATTCATATTCATGAAATCTTATACGAACTCGAGTAGATTTTAAGTAACACATTGATCTGACTCAAATTCGATAGTATAATGATGTTAACAGAAAATACATGCCACTAACACTCGTACATAATCAATTAAATTTGCGTTAATAGCTAATGGAATAAAATAAGAACGAATGGAGTGAAGAAATCTCTTATCAATAAATAACTAATATATTTGTAATATCCCAATGAGTAGAAAATTAGACTTTCTGACGTTTCGTGACTTAGTGTAAGTCACTTCTTCAGTGAATTAATAACCAAATTAAAATTAATCCAAGTTTAAACAAATGTGGAAGAAACCATAAAATTATCAGAAGGGGATTTTGTGGTTATTATAGTACGTTAATAGTTTAATTCATGAGTCAAGTGAATCTAGATCACCATGGAAAACCTGGAAGCACTGGACGGCCGTTTCGTCCCACTGTGGAACTCAGCAATGCTCATCCACAATCCCACTTCGTGAGATTCGGATTCAGGACCCATCGGTCTCGCTCGCTCTAGACCACTGAACCGGCATCCAACAGTGTTAATGTCCAACTTCAACTAATCTACGAAATTGAGTAACTGTCCCGCAGTAGTACGAAACGGCCGTCCAGTGCTTCCAGATTTTCTATGGTGGTCTAGCTTCAATTGACTCATGATCTCAACTATTAAATCATAAAATCGTTTAAGTACTTTTGAGGGAAAGGATTTGATGAAAGTTCATTTAAAGCTCACTCTGATACCGATAACCAAGGCCGCAAGAGTGGTTGTACCAACTTCTTTTGGAAGCAAATGTTATTTCTGCAAACATGTATTACGATAGCTTCAGTAATATGCAACGAACAAATCGATAAAACATGTGGTAAATTTGATTAGTAATATTTCATCTTTGTAAATCATACATTAATATATTTGTGTAGAGCCGTGATGGAAAACTAATTGGAAGGAAATTTCTTCTCTCTATTCGTTCTTTTTATTCAATGTCAAGATGAGTACTTTCACCTTACTGGAGTGAAATGAGTCAAATGCGAGAATACATTTTGGATACATATATTACATACACTGGTGGCCCTAAGCAGACAATAAGAGCAACAATACGGAGAAGCTGACCGAAGAACGCAAGTGTGTCAGCTCGTCTGTACCACTCATTACAAACATTAATGTTGCTCAAAATGGCTAATGAGTAGTGTGACAGGAAGACATTGGATAAGACAGTGAGTGATAGACAGACAGATACCTAAGCAAAAACAAGTTGCACAAGCATGGAAATACAAGGACTTAAAAATAAGACGTGTATGTTTGCTGAAAATTACAATTTCCTATGGGACATTAGTGTTGCTACGATAGTAAAAGTGAATCATAATTAATTACATGCTGTCTGAGTTATGAAAGTCTATTCAAAGGCTTAATGAGTTATGTATACAGTAGGACTCCACTGATATTAAGCCACCTATAGTGTTTTGGTACCTCTTAGGGTGAATTTTGAGGGTATGACCATAAATATCAACGAAATAGTGATTTGTTTAATTGTTATTCAAATGATATGCTCAATTTGTCCATGGTCAAACTTTCTTTATACTAAAACGAGTAGTTGTAAATCATTACCATTTGAGATCTGATTAGTTGAATTTCATGGAAAGCATTTAGTTGTGATTGGATGTGGAATTCTTCTTATTTTTCTGAAAATTATTTTATCAAAAATATTCGGGAAACTGGCTTACATTCATTACACGGTTATTGTGATTCCTGATCCCTAGTGATGAAATTTTTGGGTATTATCACAACCAACTGTATTTGAACACGAAATTACAGAATATCTCACTAAAATCTGGGAACCATACAGTAATACTTAATTTGCAAAATTATCAATCCACTGTCTCAAACTTGACTGTTCCTTTTGTAAATATCAGTCCATCGTCTCAGATTTCATTGTTCCTGCATTTTCATACCAACTGCCTTCCGTTTTCGTTCTTTCCTTCTCGATCTTCTACTGAAATATATTCTATTTCTGACTATTGTTATATACTACTTATATGAATATAAGTAGCTCACCACAATTTGTTTACTAACAAATATCTTTTGACCTATAATGAATTGTTACTTGGTCGATAATTGTAAATTTTTGTAATGTGATTACTTAAAATCAATGTAGCATGAACCGTATATATCAGAATTTACACATTTACATTTGAATTTTTCTTTAAATTCTGTCAGACAGTGCTATCATCGTTTAATATGAGACTGTAACTTCTTAAAAAAAGCCACATCAATTCTAATCGACCGCCATACTATACTAATACTATTGGGATTAAAAGAGATAATGATTTACCTATTGTTCACGTGGAAATGAAACTTAATTTTTTCAGTTATGTGGATTTAAATGGTCAACTATCATGATAGGGGAAAGACTATGTATTTCATTGAAGGTGAACTGTTTGAAATTGGGAACCATTTTTCGAACCACACACAGATTTATAATTACAATAGTGATTACTGTACCTGAAAGCCAAAAGATTTTTGAATGCACAAGGAAGAATCTGAT